TATTGCGGTGAGAATAGGATGTTAAATTATTAATTAATTTGAATCACAACTCTTCGGTTCACAACCGGTCTTTAATTTATCCGAAGGAAAGGTCAAAGAAAAGAAAAACTTAATTTTACATCGTAAACACAATGCGGGGAAAGATCTGGGGTACGAGGGTTGGTTAAGCTTAGGGAAGGTATTAGCACCTTAAACTTCTGTAGTACTCTACAGGAACCTCTTGTTTTAATGTTGCTATTTTGCTAAAATTATCTGCTTAAGGGTATATGCTAAGGGTTAGAGGTTAAAGAAAAAAAAGACCTAAAGGTTAGTCCTAAGTTTACTCGCCAAGACCCGCATCTTGTGCCTACGTATCCGAGGTAGGGGATGGAATCAGAGTAATCGTAGTTTCCTTTGAAAGGGAGGAAGAGAAACTTCTTGACGGTGGTCAAGGTTTCAATGGGGACGCAAACGTTCTTAAGGAAGCGCTTACGTGGAGTGCGGCGACTCCTATCTCTACGTTGAAAATAGTTGAATTGAAAAGGGTAAGATAGGTATTCCACGGCGGGAAACCTAATGCGGAGTACGACGACTCCTTATCCTAATGCTAGGGTAAAGGGTAATTTGGTCTGCGACGGGACGCCTATGCAATTAGGGTTTGAACGGTGAAAGATTCAAGGGTAAAGACTATTGACGCGACGCTCAAATGGCTAGACATATTCCTTCAGATGGGAATTAACGGTGAATAATGCAATGACAAATAATTAAGCAATGGAATTGAAGTATGGGAAGGTGCGAGAATGATAATGGAACAAAAGCGATGATTGCCTCACATAAATTACAACCATAAAAAATGAAATACAACAAAATAAAGGATTAGTAACTGTACAAATGAGACATACGAAAGTCGGGCATAAAAATTAGACGAACATAAACATCAAGGTTATAGATCAAGTCCGCAATTAGACGGCGGCTCAATTCGAAACTGAAAGTGAAGTGTTTAAAAGTTTGGTTAAACAGGTTTTTAAGAAAAAGTTTTGAAATAAATCGAAGATTAGTCTTATTTTATAAAAAGAGTTTTTATTTTAAGTGTTAGAAAATAATTTTGATAACAATTTGGGGATTTTTAATTAGAAAAGAAAAAAATGATTTTTAATTAAGTTTTGAAAATAAGTCCTAAATATTAAATTTAATTATTAAGTTCTTTAAAAAATTAGTTTTAATTTTAAATAAATTTTAAAAAATAGGTTTTAATTTAATAATTTAAAAAATAGGTTTTAATTTAATAATTTAAGGTTTTTATTTACAGATTTATAATAATTTAACTAAACTAAAAAAGAAATATAAAAATGAAAATAAAAACTAGAAATATAAAAGGGGGAAGGGCAAATTTGTTGCTGAAACATTCAGGTGTCGCGGTGAAATTTGGATATCAAACTATTGATTAGCTTGAACCTTTAATTCATTTGCAACCAAACTTTGATTTGTCCAAAGGAAGGGATAAAGATCGAAATTCCCACAATGCAATGCAAATGCAAGCTAGAGAGTTATAGGTTCGGGGGTTGGTTAAACTTAGGGAAGGTGCTAGCATCCTAAGTTTCTGTAGTACTCTACATGAACCTCTTGTTTTATGTTTGCTTTATTGCTAAGGTTTATCTGCTTAAAGGTTGAAAGACCTAGGGGTTTATTTCTAAGTATACTCGGTAAGATATCGCATCTTATGCCTACATAGCCTTACGGGAGTGGAATCAGAGTATCTGTAGTTCCCCTAAAGGGTTTGAGGAGTTCTTTGACTGTGGTCAAAGTTCCTACGGGTTTAGGGTAGTTGATTGATTGATTTTAGGAGAAAAGATGAGTTGTCATTTTAAGGGAGATTTAACCGCCACAAGTGTAAGAGATTGTATTGTTGTGGGGTGGAGATTCTATCTCGCTTAAGATGATTAACATATTTCTCTAGTGTTTGAGTAATTGTATTGAGTTGTTGAATGTGTTTGTCTAAGTTGTAAAGATAAAGGTCCTTCCTTAGGGTAGGATCTAAACTTAGAAGATCGACTTGAATGGGATCAAGGATCAAGTGGGAGAATGATGCAAATGTAGATGCATACACACGATTGTTTAAGTCATGTGCAGATTCTTCCTTTGGACGGATGCAATGCGAGAATGATAAATGACGATAATATAAATGCGGAAATATAAAGTTGCGAATAAAGTAAAGGCGGATAAATAAACATACATGTACACATGAAAGCGCTGAAGTGTGTGAGGGTGAATGTGTCATGAATGTGAATGTGCACGATTAAGTTGGTTTTACAATGTTGGTTCATTTTAAGCGGAGTTGAATTAATTTTAGTTTGAATTATTTATAAGAAAATACTGATTTGGATGAATTGATTTGTAAAAAAAAGAGTTGGATAAATTTCAAGTTATATTATTTTAGTGAAATTTGGTTTTTATAAAAAAAAGTTGTTATTAGTTTTAATAAAAGGTTTAGATTAGTTGATTAAAATTGATTTTAGAAAGATGTTAATTTAATTTTAAAAAGGGTTTTCTTATGGAATAATGAAAAGGTGATTATCATGAAATTTAGATTATTTAGGTTATGAAATAAATAAAATAAAAAGGGTGTCATTATTATAATATAAGAAAAAACATTTATTAAATAAGATAGTTTTAATCATAAAAAAAAAAAGCACAAATATCTTATCATTTTAAAAGGTTATTAATTTGATGAATTGAGATTAGTAGATGCAGGGTAAATTAAGTTGAGTTATTAAAGGTTGATTTGAAAAGAAGATAATTGGTTTTAATTTTATAAAAAGAGTTGATTAAGGTTAATTAATTATCTTAAAAAAACTGATTAATTAAAATGGATTATCAATTTATTTTTTAAAACCTAATGGTTAACTAAAGGATTAAAATATTATTAAAAGAAAAAACTGATTATCAAAAAGTTAGGAGGTGATTACGGTGATTTTAGTGGTGATTAGTGTGATTAGTGTGTGGTTAGGCGTTATGTTATACAAGTAATAAAGCAACAGAAAGAAAACAAAAATGGAAACCTAATCCCACAAAATCCCCAAATCGGAAACCCTCTCCCTCAACCTCTGATCGCGTCTTCTCCTCTTTCCAATCGCATCTCACTCAGATTTCTGTACCTGAAACAACAATCAAAACATTAGTCATTCAACGGACTCAGTTCGAAATAAGAGGTTGCCGAAGGCTGGTAGAACGGTGAAGATGCGTGCGGTGGAATGGACTCTTCGACGGTTGTGTCTGCGGCGTCGGCGGGAATTCGCGGTAACTGAAGGTGGCTCGTCGACTGGAGAGATGAGTTCTCCTCTTTTCTTTGCTCGATTTTTAGGTTATAAATTCGGTGTTTCGCGGCAGTACTAGGGTTTTTCCCGTCCTTGAATTCCTTCTACTCTTCATCTTATATAGGTTTTTTTTAGAATCAATTGCTTTGAAAGCTGATTTAAAATATTTTGAAGGCTTGATTGGGTTTTCTATTTCGGTACCAATCAATTTGAAAACTTTCCTTTTCTTGCTCCAATCTCTTAAATGAAAATCCCATCTTTGATACCGTATCAATTTCGTTAAAAAAAAAATCCTTTGTCTAGGTTCAATGTTTGGGTTTGGGTTGGATATTCCAACGGTATATTCTTCAATCGATTTTGCTAATCCACGAGTTGCAATCTGGAAGGTGTGAACAATAGGTGGTTTGGGCCAAGGAAGGATTATCATCCCAGAGAAGTTGAGCTTGCGTCCGATGCGTTTTGGTGAGGGCCTCCACGAACATGCTGGTGATGAGGGGGAACAGCTTCGAAGGTCTTTTTTTGCGAATAAGTTGAACACAGGGTACGCGGTTCTTTTTTAGTCTGATCTCTGCTTCTTGTTTGTTCGTATTGGATACACATCTAACATCGTTTTCTGTTTCTCATGTATTTCGATGGTGGCATTTGGAGTAACTCATTGTGCATGTCGTTGTTCTTGTCCTAGTTATCCTGATATGTGCTGGGATATGGCAAGTGATGGACTTCACGCCCTAGGTCATTATGTTCCTTATCTTCTGTAACAGCTCCAGACGCACCTTAGGTCTGACCTGTGTAAGTTCCTCACTTGGTCATCTTGACGAGAACTGTGAGTAGCTTGAGAAGACACATTCATAGACTGAGACACATCGCTGATTTTGTTTAATCTTCCATGTTGTTGTATTTCAGGAGATTTTGTTTTCCCTCTATTGGAATCAGCTGAATGGACATGCTCTTTGTTAACCAGCTCAAGAGCTTTAATAATGCCAGTTGCGACCTTAGACGAGTCAGTGTGATCCAGGTTCAGAATTTGGGGGTATGAGTGAATGATTAACCAATCCAACATCAATGAGCGTGGCAGAAGCCTTAAATTTCCTGATTGTGAAAGAAAATTATGAAGAATAAGGTAGAATATTCCGCCCATGCTTAAACCAACAGGATTCTTCTGATAAGTGACCCTACTGCTGCTCCAACCAGCATCTCGTCGAAGTAGAACGTGAACTGATGATGAGCACATCAATAATATCTCCGTCAGAAGCTTCAGGATAAGGATAGTCTTTGCAAGTGATGCAGAAGTCTCTGAGATTTATACTAGCTGCTGGAACATGAACACTCTTCATTGTGTCTTTGATTACCTTAGGTTTTTTTATCTGGTGCATTTAATTCTCTATGCTACCTGTTCATATGACAATCATTTCTTGGCTGAAGATTGGGGAGCCCGGGGTGAGCAAGGCAAAGAGTTCAAAACATTTTTGTCATGGCGGACATGGTTTCAAAATTGACTTGCTCTGGGAACTCCTTTCTCTAGTCGCATATGCTCTTTATGTTGTTTCCAGATTGCGGTATCTAATGTGTTTTGCTGTACTCGATACAATGCAGCTTCACATTTTACAAACTAAGTGGTTTAGACACTGATTGAACTTGCAGTGTAAGGGTGATAGGCTTTTGTTTGCAGTCATCCTTTGTGAAGAAAGTGGATGGTATAACGGATAGATGTGGATCGAGCCGCCTGAGGTTAGTCAACTCTCTTTTACACATTCCTCTTTTACTTAAAATTGCACAGAACAAAGTCCTTTTGAAGACTTCACCTGCATGATTCACATATATTCCCTGTCTCTAGGTTAAACCAGTTGTTAAACTGCTGAAGCAGACTCTAGTGGGGACTGGAGCGTCACTTGTTACCGGAGTTATGCTATTTATCTTTGCTACGCCAGTGGAGAATTTTCTTCATTCTACCTTTACCATAGAAGAAAGCAAATCGACTCTCCAAACTACCAAGGTTAACAGGTTTAATCTTAAGGTAAGGACAGACAAAATCCTGCAACTTTCCGAGGTTACTTTCACCATGTCATTGAAACGTTAATGTCTGTTGTAGGAAGGAAAAGTTGCTTAAATTGCCTGCAGGTGTGAAAGTCGATGACAAACTTGCAGATGCTACTGCAGATGTTGCTGATGGAAGACCAGTCTACTTATCTTATTTTGAGGTTGGATATCAGGGCGGAAACTCCGAAGCTTCGGTCGTAAATGAGTGGTGGGTAGAAGGGAAGCGCAGGGGTCTTTGGTCTATGAGGAGCAACTACTGCTTGCTGGAAGAAAAAATGAGAACTTCTTCTTAATGCTTTGTAAAAAAATGTAATGTGCCACGGATTTGCAATCAGTTGTAACAAAGTCTTAAATTTTAAGAGTTTGGTGTAACTGTTGAAACAATGTTGTACATCCTGAATTTGAAAACAAAGCTTTGGAACACAAATGATGAATTGGCCCTTGGATTTTCTTGCTTCTAAATCATGAGCCTACTGGTGAGCGCCCTACTTGCAAGGGGCAATTCGGCTTGAACGTAAAGCATAGACTCTTGTGTCCTTGTAATTATCTTGGACTTATGATATGGGCTTGGTGGCATCTGAAGTATGCTTAACACCGTAGGAAATCCATAAACCTTGGCACTTCTAAATCCAAATACACTCGAATGAAAATTTAGTCTTGAATCTAAAATTGCCTTATCACGTCTTGGTCCTAATGGTACTCAGGAGGAAATGTCGACACATCTTAATGAAACTTGGTAATGAATATACTCACGAGAGTGGTACATCAAACCTCTCGTATCCTCAACGAAATTTTAATCCATAAACCAACTGCAGTCTGACCTTGATTTTAATGAGATATAGCCGGAAGGTGCATCCAAAGAATGTCCTCGGTGTAATGATCCAATGATAACTCAAGAGTGAAAGTAATGTTAGTAATAAAATAGATAACATAATAATAATAAATATGATAGAAATAACTATAATATTAGTAATAATAGTCGCAAAAAGCATAAGTATTAAAATGGAGTCAAATAATTGTAGAAGGAAAACTGCGCAACAAGAGGTGGCATCTTAAGGTCAAAATTAGGGTGTGACATCAAGGTTTTGAAACCCTCTTCTTCTTTCTGACCGCGCGGCGCTCCTCCATGGGAGCTTCCTCCGAGCTCTCGTGGCGCATGTCCATTTCCTTCTATCTTCTCCTCCCTTCCACAGATGTTCCGCTTGACTCTTTCATCTTCCTCACGAACATCCTTCTTCTTCTCATGGACCTTGAAAAAAAAGAAAAATAAACAGGCAAATGCAAAGAACTGCTCACCCTTTTAAGAGTTTGAAGCGATTCTGATGATGGTGTTGGATCCTTGGCCGTTGTTGATTTCGATGATAATGGTAGGTGACGATGATGAAGAACCCAATTCTTCTGAGTCCTTGGCTTGTTCGCGATTGTTGTGGTTATGGTTTGGCTTGTGGTGGTTGCGCGGGGGTCCGTCGACGGCGTTGGTTATTCCAGCCGATGATGAAGCTAACCTTCTGAGGTGAGCTCGACGGCTTACGCGGCTGTTGTGGGTTTATTGATGATGGATGAACCTTCAGGTCTTTTTTCTGATGAACTTTTTTGATCTCCCCTTTTTTGATGAACTTGATGTTGTTCTTATATTATTCTTGATTTAATTTTATGGGCCTGGGTTCATGCTATTATTGTTACGATTTTCATGCCTTTGTTGCTATTTTTTAGGATTCAAGGTCTTGTTGTTATCAATTTGTTGGTTGGCTAAGAGTTTGGTTTTGAAACAGAGGGGCTGCATTTTATTTGGTGATTTTGTTTTGAAGCAGAAATTTGTTTTGGTTGTTGGAACCAGATGCTTTCGTTTTTCTGGAAAGTTTGTTAGAAATTTTCGGATTGGTTGTTGTTCTTGGCTGAACTGGATATCCGTATTTGGATTATGGATCCTCGATGGGTTTGGCATTGAACTGGATATCCATATTGCTTTAAGATCTGTTTGGCTGAACGGAAAAAAAAAACAATTTTTCAAATAATCACTTTTTCCAAAATCACTTTTCTCAAAAGCACTTTTTCTCTCTTTCTCTCGGAAACAAACTTGAACAGACATTGTCGGGTCGTGTCGGGGTCGGAAATTAAAGTCGGGGGATGCGGCGACATTTATTTGTTGCCCCTCCGACGTACCCGATGATGAAATTTTAACTGAGGGTATAAAACTGATTAAAAACCACTTTTTAATTAAATTGACCCTAACTAGTTGAATATTTTTCTAACATCATTTGTTTTACAGATTTGAAGATCGAAGATTCAGACGTGAATATCTCTTTGAAAAATTAGGAATTTTAGGATCATTTAGGATTTACTTTGTAATTTCGAACATGATGTAATCGAAAGTTGTACAAAGATTGAAAATAAATTCAATAAAAATGCTCTTATTTTCCGATTACATTCAATTCTTATATCCTTCGAATACCTGACATTTCCAATTTAAAATTCGGCAAATTAACCATTATGCACGATACTTGAAATTAGATACGTCCAACGCAACTTCTGAGCTCAGAACTAACCCCTGACGATTAACTTATATTCGATAATAAAATCGGTTAAAATTGTCTTTGAACAGATAAACAGAGAATCCATTTTAACGGCAAAAACGAACTTTCCTCCGCCTTTAAAATTCAAATCTTATCTCGAACAATCTAACTCTGTAATCCTGAATCAACCCGACTAATAATCGTAGCCAAACCGACTGGTATTCTATCACGAATTCGGTGCAAACAACAATTTCACTGCTCCTCTAATATTAACGCGTAACTGGCCGAAAAAGCAGGAAAGCGTGCGTTTGTTAAAATAAATTTCTTGAAGCCGATTCTCGCACCGATTCAACCCAAATTTCAACGCCTTCAACTCCATCTGACTTATGAATCAAACAACACTTCTGAAATCCAACTGACGACTAAATCTCGACTATTGAATAAAATGTACTGTGTCACAAGAAACTTGACGTCAAAAATTCAACCCATTCTCAAATAAACATTGCATGACTCGGGGATAGGAACCCGAATTTCCTGGAGATCCATTGACACTGACTTTGCTTCGAACCCATCAACGGACTGTAAATAAACTACCATTCTGCTCTCTCTAAATTAAAGCGCACACAGTATTATTTTCCTGCAATAACACACAGACTGAGCGAACCGGTTAGCAGTTAGTTAAAATGCAACGCAGAATCAAATGAAATGCGAAATGAACCTAATGATCTAAGGCTAAATTTTGGGGTATGACAGTTGCCCCTATTTAAATAGCTTCACCGGATGATTTGAGTAATGGAGGCTCGAGAAATCATGGTGAAAGGGATTTAAATACAGATAACCGAAAATTTTGTCCTTAGATGCAGTGATATGCAATGCTATGGACAAAACGGAATGAACTATGATGCTGACAATGCCATGAATCTAGTATGATGCGTATGATGGGAATGATAAACGTAAGGATGTAGAAGACATGACGACACGGGGGACAGACGCAACGAGCAACCGCACACTGGGGAAGACGATGCACAGAGGAAGCAGCAAACATCATCCATGAACGGAACTGGATGGAAAGAGTCACAACATTCAGAATAACATTAAATGAAGCGAGGGGAAATCTAGGAAATATATCAGGGACAAAGAAAAAAATATCGGGGACATCCGGAAGAACCTCGAATGAACTCGAAAATGCACCAGAGATACTCGAAAAAACATCGAATAAACTCTGGGACACATCCAAAAACAAAATGAAAACATCTAGAAGAGCATGAGATGAAGACAAGGCTCGGAAGGCACATCCAAAACATTTAGGAAAGCATTAAATGCACGGGAAGAGTTTGAAGACATATTTGGAAGAACATCAGATAAGCCACAGGAGTTCTGGAAGAACATCAGAACCAAAACTCAATCTGGAAAAACATCAGAAAGAGAAACAAATCCAGAAAATATCGGATAGATTCTGGAAAAACCTCAGAATCAACAAGGAAGATCTGGAAAAAAATCAAATAAGTTTTGGACGAACATCAGAACAAAGATTCACTCTGGAAAAACATCAGAAAGAGAAACAAATCCGGAAAAACATCGGATAGATTCTGGAAAAACATCAGAATCACAAAGGAATATCTGGAAAAACATCAGATAAGTTCTGGCAGAACATCAGAACAAAGACTCAATCTGGAAAAACATCAGAAAGAGAAATATATACGAAAAAACATCGGATTAGAAATTCCCTATCTAGAAGAACATCAGATAAGCCAAGACACAAACTGTTTGGTAGGTGCCAATTGAGTTGGACTTTGACCACAAGGTGAGACATGAATAACACCACGACCTCGGAAGAAATGCAAATGAGGATGAAATACTCGTGATGTGCATATGATATGAATTATGCAAATTCTATATGATCAAATGCAAATGCAGACGCCGATGACACAACTCGACTCTTCTGGTAAGATGACAAAACTGGAAAGCTGATTCCTCAATACGGAGATCACTGTCATTCTACTTGGGGACTAAAGATACTACTGCTGGGCACATCTCTGCTACAATGGTAAACCATGTCAAGTTGAGGATCCTTGTAGGAAGGATGCATAGCTGCTTGGGGATCCTTCAAGTAAACTTCCCCTGATTAAATCGTCCGTTATAGATGAACTGATAATTACTTTAGCTTGTCTGATTCTGTAGATGATTATGCTACTATGCCCCTGGAAGGTATGCCCCAGTATGAGTCTTGGAGGATCTTCTGGATAAACTGATTCTGAGAAGGACTTTCCCCTGAACCATGAATCTTAAATTGATTCTCAATAGGACCTGGCAAGAACTTGCCCCTAATAGGATCATCGACCAAGCTTTTCATTATTTAAAAATTCCTTAGAGGAAAGCCAGTTTGTAAACAAAAATATTCATAAAAACATGGTAATGCAAAGTTCATGCAACTTTTGAAACCAAAATCCTTTTTGAAAGATGAAAAATAAATGAGTCATTGGTCAGAACATAGTGGTTCAAGACGCTCAAAGTTTAAAACAAAGGTGTACTGCCAAAATAAATGATTCGCAAAGATCTTTAAGAGTCAGCCTACGCAACCTTGTTGTAGTATGCTTTCAAAATAACTTTGCTTTAGTTAGATCTTTTGAGGGTTGTAACGTGGCCTGGTTCATAGTTTATGAAACAAAGGATAAAGGCTCAAAATTTATTTGTACCCACCCAATCTACGTGATAATCTTCAGTCCTATACTCAGTTAACTCCTATTATGCATTCATGTTCCTATAGGTTAGGAGTTGCA